AATTTATTTTTAAATATGCAAAATTATGTTTAATTATTATTTATTATTATATTTATATTTTTTTTATATTTTCTTCTCCAAAAAACTTAAATAACTAAAAAAGCAATTGAGCAATATTTTGACAGATAATTTCGAGTTCAAGTTATATTGTATAATCTGCGCACACTTTCAATTAATTTTTAATTTGTTCGATGCAATTTTCCTGAATGTATGGGAACTTTTAATGAAAAATCGCCCGCGTTTTCATGAACAAATGCCGATACAAATGAGCGAGCTGTAATTTTAGACGGTATGCTCTCTCGTAGCTGCCGGTGAAAGCACAATAAACCGATTGAGATCACGCCACTTCAGGTCAAGACAATGCAACTATTTGCATATGGCACCGCTCGCGTCTTAACTGTGGCCGCGACGGCGGTTGTGGTCGACGATTTCTGTTGCATACACGCATAGAGACGTAAGCCTTTTGCGGGCGGCCACATGCTTCTCGCGAGGCTCGTTTGCTATTATTCAAGTATATATTCATTTGCGCAAATGTACATTTAATTGCTCTTTGAAGTGCTTTTATTAGAATTTATCAAGAAAAATTTTTCAAGAAAAAAGAACAGCAAACGTATGTTTGAAAAATAATTTTAAATCTGTAAGAATCAAGAAATAAAAGTGGCGAAATAATGATCGAAATGTAGGATTTTACATGAATTCTATGAAGCGCTTATTCCTTATTATTATATTAAAAATTCTGGAAGCTTTAAAAAATAACTGTACAAATTATTTGAATACAAAATGAGAAAGAGAACAAAATTAATTTCACTGTTCAATGATCAGTATAATAATTATTCAACACTTTAATTATTGTACCTTATTTAACATTGAAAAAATTAGTTTCAAGAGTTTCTGTGACTGTTTTATTTTATATCGATATCGTGAATATTAATAAAATTATTGCTTATAAAATTATTACAAGATTGAAGCTACAAATATTTATAAATTTTGTATCTTTGTAATATGTACGTTTAAAAAATGCATCTTGTTTCATACGTATGAAAATAATATTGTATTGTGAATCACACATTTTAACTTTGATGCATGAACGAAAATATATCTGCCGAAATCGAAGTCGACGGATTGTGTTATTGCACTTACGCCGAGTGCAACGTCCGACTATCGCGCTCGAACGATTTAAATTTAGCCGGCAATGACATTCCTCTTTGAACATTTTCCTGTATTATAATTGACAATTGTTAACAGTGCGTGGCGTATTTTCATTTTATCGTATATCTTTTGTACGATATAATAGAAGATGCGCCACAAAAATAAATTAACGACATTCGTGCGCTAAGCATGTTAGATGAATATTGAGTTTAAAAATTAATTTATAATACATATATCTCCATTATAAATCAATATAAATTAGGTGGATTGGAAATTGGAATTGAAATCTAAAGAAAAAGGAGCATAAAAAATATGTTTGAATAAACGTTTGATAAGAAAAATACTTAACGAGATAAATTATACAATAATATATAATAAGTATTTACAATTATTATCACGAATGAAATATATGTATAGCATAATGACGTTTCCTTTGAAAATATTAATCATTATTGAGTGGAAAGTTCTTAACATATATGCAGTGTGCTCGTGCATCATGCAATAAAGAACTTGTATGAAGAAAATTTTAAATGTTAATGTATGCCTGCGAGGCATTAGTCAAGTAAGAAGGAAAAACTAAAGATAACTTGAAAACAATATGGCGCAAGGAAATTCCTTCGATAATTGTTTCTGCCATTTTATGCAGCTTGCAGTCTTTCTTTTGTTTCACTCAACATAATTTATAAAAGAGAATTTTATAAAAAGAATTATTTCGTTATTTCCTTCGAGATTATTCGACTGAAACATCGCATGTACATATATGCGTCTCGCTTTGCTTGTCGCTTGTACAAATTCGCGAGATAAGGGTACAGTTAAAAAATTGTTTAACTATAAATCGCAAATAACTTTCTGCAATTATGTGTTTTGCTGCGATATATGTCCACTTGTGTGATATTCCAACATTGTGATATTTGCACAAGTATTATGATTATTATGCACTTCATGAGAACGGTAAGAAAATAACGTAATGTGGTAATAAAATAATTGCATGCAATAAAATATTCTGTAGGCTCATCTTGTTGAAGAAAAAAAGATAAGATCTTCTCTGTGAAAGATTCCAATCAAAAATACATTTATTGCATTGCCTTCGTTGGCATCAACTAGATTTGCAAGCAGTCTAGTTAAAAAATTATATTGTATTAAATCAGACCGATGGACATCTGCGGAGTATAATGTAAAGATTGCGCAAAGCGAGCATTCTTATCAGTCAACGTGGCAGATTGGGAGCACAAAAAAATTAATTGCTTTGCTTCAGAAAATTCTGTCATTGAATTATATCATATCATCAATTTGAAAGTATATTTATAATGATAACTTAATGATAAAATATTAATAAATTTTTCTCACGTTTTAAAAAAGATATAAATAATACAGAATATAGATAATACAATATGTGTGGAATATTTCCTTATTTCTTATGGAAATTAGCTAGCATTTTAATCATTGTATAATTTATACCTATTAAAAAAATAATAGATAATTTCAATAGTTTTTAAATCATTGCCATTTTTTTTAAATTTTGAAGATTCAAAAAGAAAAAGTTTTGATGAAAAAGTATTAAAAAAATAAATGTTATATATATATATGGATATATTTTATATATAATTATATATAATTGCATATGGAACGCTTTTTTCCCGGAATATTAAAGTAAGAAACATTGGAGTAAAGTTATGTAAAATCAAAAATTAATAATTTAAGGAATTAATTAATAATTTTGAACTTACTATTCTACGTACTAAACACGTCATATCAATCATTAAAAAATAACTATTCTATCAAGATAGAGATTTATTTTTCGATAATATCTTATCTCTTTATTATCTCTTTTTACATTTTAAGCATTTTTTCCATTTTTTTTTTTTTTTTTTTTACGCAATTCGGTCGTAAGATTTTTTTTTTTTTGAAAAACCATCGTCGCATGGAGAACATTACAAGCTTTGAGAGCCACTGCTCAGTCTGATTGTTGGTTTTTCCCCTCCTCCCATTTCTTCCCCCCTTTTCCTCTTCTCGCGATAGTATTGCAGCTCGCCCCGCGTGCGCCGTTGTATTTCATTGTTGTGAACGCATGCAAATTGCGATCCCAGTGCCGGGCCCGAGTATCAATTCTAACAGAATTAATTCGAGTGCAGTCATTGTTTTTTGCGCGTCACAAAAAACCCTCTATACGCGGGCGGCATCGTTTTGCCCCGCTACGAACAATATCCGGTTCATACGAACGGTTGCGCACGTCGCCGATCTCTCCTCGCCGCGCCGCACCGATCGCCTCGTGTGTTTCTATGGGTAGTGAAATCCCGTTCGAAAATTGAACCGTGGGTCGTCGATATAACATCGGCAATCGATCATTTTATTGGTAATTATCGTCAACGTTTTGCCAGTGATGTCAGTGCTCAGCGAACAGCGTCAAAAAAGGATTGAGTAATATAGCGTCGCTAATTCGCAGAACTGAATGCCCGTGTTTCATCACGCGATAGCTTCCAGTGAATAACCTCGCTTTCAGTGACAAATAACCAAAATAGTACGACTATTAGTGTTGAAAAATGTAGAAAATATCAAAAATTTGTAAAACTACGCGAGCCACTATTTACATTGCAGTTATGTGTTTAAACTGTTCAATGGAGAAAAATAAATTAAAGAAAAGTTGGAAAAATATATTTGATAATATAAAGAAAACACTTGTAAAAATCTTAGTATAATATTAAAAAATAATATTTAAAATATAATTGAAATTTAAAAGTAGATTTTAATTATTTTTAAAAATATTGAAATTTGAAATTTTATAAAATGTTAAAATCTGTGCCATAAAAATTGGCGTGTATTATAATATGAATTTGATATTTATGTTACAGAAAGATGATTTCACAGCCATCAGTTCAGCATTGCGCCAATATCTTCCTGAAAAAGATACTCCCTATATTTTGGACGTCGACCTCGATTTCTTTAGTACTAAAAATCCATTCAAGAATCTTCATGAACGCGTAAACCTCTACGACAAGTTGGCACCTTTGTTTACATATAAGAGGACGGAATCGAATGATCCAGAGGTAAGTTTGTTTTAAACTTATACGAAAAAGAAAAAATGATTTACATTTTTTTAATTAAGAAAGCATTATATAACAATATATTTCTATTAATTAAACAATAAGATGTGTACGAGTTGAAATCGTAATCATCAAATTATAAGACTTCAATATATATACTTTTTTCGAAGTTTTGCTTACATCACCGATAAAAAATGAAGGTTGAGCTCTTGAATTTACGCTGTTTCATAGAAGAATAACAAAAATTAAATTAAATTAAAAAGAATATAATTTGAATTTACTCTTACCAAAATGGACATGGAGGCAATGCCACCAGTTATGTAACTGTATGAATCGCGTGATGGAGGATGTCTTGCTTCTTTAAATTTATTAAAGTAATGAAAGCTAATTATCTGTGTACCTATCTACATACGGAATTTTGTCAATCGTGTTTTATAAATACTGACACTGCTGAGGATGGCTTGAACTAAAATCGAAACGAATAAAAATTACAATTTAAGACGTTGACTTCATACGGCTTTTTTTTTAATAAAAATTTTGGTCGTTTTATTATTTTTTTTTATTTATTGTACCATTTCATATATAAAAAATAAACTTGCGAATTGTTCATCAAACAATAATGTTAATTTCATTAGCTTCAAATTTTTTAAAATCGTATTATTTTTACAAAATAAAGGAACAAAAAATCAATCAAACAGAAAATATTATTCTTCTCTTTCACGCTTTCTAACAATGAAAACTCTTTGTGGAATAAAAGACTGGAATAATTTTAAAAAGTCGTACGAAGATATTTTCGGTCGCAATTTAATTGCTATAAAGCTATAACTTTTAAAATTTCGAAGAAACGATGAACGTTATACTAACTCATTTAACACACAAAATAATGGAGCATCCTATAAAAACAATCTACGATATGTTGATTTGTTGCAAACTTTGTCCCAAAAACGTCTTCTACACAGTTCTATCTTATTTTGTGCGCACTCGAAAAATTAAGAATATAATTCAATATTATTAAATAGAAGATTAAAAAAGAAAAAGACGTGAAGAGAGAGCACGAGAATATTATCAGTCATTAAATATCTGATTTCACGGAAATTTGATTGAGTAGGAAAAGGAAGGGGCGAGAGATCGGATAAATCGCAAACAAACCGGGTAGCTTTAGAAGCGATGGAATTTCGCGAGTTAGAGGCTGGGAGCTACCGGCAACGAGCGGAAGATTTGCGAATAATTAGGTGGACCGACAATGGCCGTAGTCCCGTGGCAGGCCGGATACACAATGTGGCCTGCCACCAGCGGGATAATAGACAGAGAAGAACGACTCTATGGGGTTTTAGGATTCGACGGACATAATGGCACTGGCCTATTGTCTACGTAGCTGCAGACTGCCAACATCCGCCTCCGGGGTCGACCATGTCGGCTCATCTGCATACCAGCTTACAACCCTTCAGCCGTTTAGTTCCGAGCATCGAAACGTTAATTCTGCTCCGGCTACGCTATTCGTCAATGAATCTCGATCGCGTGCTATTATTAGTACTGTGCCGCATCGTTTGACAAAATGAGACATTTTTAGTTAATTAAAATCGATATGATGCGTTTTCAATTAATTCTCACGATGATATTCGATGTATATTCCCGCGACTTTCGATAAACCTCTTCTCGATAAATTTCCGTTCGATGAATTCCCGTTATTTGAAAGATTCGCGATAAATTCGATTAAAACTGTTTTATTAGATATGTTGGATATTTTTAGCAGCGCTGTTTATAAAGAGGGTCGTTGATCGGCAATATTTTCCGTCATTCTTATTTTACGATACGATCAATATGTCCCAGATTGCTCGTAAATAATTCGCACGATATTGATGTTGACAGGAAACAAATATAAATTTATATACTCAATTAGAATAACTGACTCAAGTAATACTGTAGGTCCACTTAAATTCTTTTGTTATTGTCGATGCGTACGATGCGTAGAGCAGTAAATTGTTTCTAATTTAAATATGCAAATATTAACATACTATTATATGTTTTTTATATAATTTAAATTTATGTTTGTATAAATTTGAATTAAAATTTGATTTAAAATATAACTTCTTTTAGAAGTTCAAAAAAAAAAACCTAATCATTCTCTACATTCGCAACAGCTTTTACAAACAAAGTATGATTTGCCGTAACATATTGTACGTAATTATTAAACGAACTGAATTTTGGGAGCAGCTAGTCAGTGTTATAGCTGAATTTACTTAATTATCGGATTATGGTAACTAACATCATGCGTTGAATGTATAACAAATTTTCGTCGATGAAATGGAAATGTTAATTGCGTCATTTATAAAGCGCAACAGTATGTTATTTGAATTTATAAATAAATTACAAACGAGTTTAATTACAAATATACATGTTTATATAATATAATACTAATATAAATATATAAAATATGCTATATATTTATATTGCTTTTATAATAAATTAATAAATACATAAATGAAATAATTATATTTATATATCGGAAATCATTTGTTTATAAATTGCCGCTGCGAAAGATTTAATGAAAAAGTATTTTTTCACATTGATTTATTCACAAAAATTTTTTTGTATTTCGCTTTAAGTTTTATATTCTACTTTAACAATCAAAATTATCTAACAGAAAATTTATAAAGAATTACAAGGAATGTGCAACAAATATAATATATTAATGAAGTAATAGGCATACTATAAATTTACAGCTTTTCGCACAAGTTTCTCTCTCTCTCTCTCTCTCTCTCTCTCTCTCTGTGTGTGTGTGTGTGTGTGTGTGTGTGTGTGTGTGTGTGTGTGTGTGTGTGTGTGTGTGCGTGCGTGCGTGCGTGCGTGCGTGCGTGCGTGCGTGCGCGCGCGTGTATGCCTCTTATATTATTTGCATAAGGTTTCGCATCGTGTCTTTCTATAACCGATATATACAACGGTTGCTGCATATTTTGTGAATCCTACTTTGCATATTTCCAATTGTCGAAAAGCCTTTGATCATTTATAATTTCTCACGGAGTTCCACACCGTGTGCGTCCTGCATGTCATTTAGAAAACATCAGCTATCCTCCTATATTCGAAATTGCTGATTTCAAGGTCGAACCATTTAATTTCTCACCGTGGGATTTCGACAAGATGCATACCCTTGAACGTAGAACGCAGTCAAGCTTTGACATCAGACAGAATTGCTTTACCGTTATGTTAATGTAACGAATCGCGCCATTTAAATATATTCCGATTAAATATTCGGTTCTTTTCGGTCTACGTGTACCATGGAGGATAAGTCCAGTTTCTGCTTTCAGTGCGATGATAATGCAATGCAAGAGAATGATGCAACCGTTGCCTCTTCAAGATCAATTTTTTTATATCTAAATCAGCACTTGATTTTTTTTATTAAATTATTTTTTTATTCTCTCTCTATCTTTGTTTTTTTTTTTTTTTTTTTTTTTTTAACTTTAAATAGAAGAGGCTAGAGATTGCAGAAAGAAAATACCTGAGTAATTATAACTTTTTACAAATATTAAATTATGATTAATTAATAAGTATGCTACAGTCTCTTTAGCGGAAATTTTGTATCTTTCTTTATATGCATACTATATGTTTATATCTATATATGTTGATGCGCAGACCTGATGATTTCGATTTAATGTATGCAGGTCAGACGGCGCTACCTGTCTTACCATGAGAACTTGGCGGTGCATTGTGATTGTAATCGCCGGCTGCAGGTCACCCCGTAGTCTAACCGAGGTCAGGGTCATTCCTGAATTATTTAAATTACGCAATCCACATTCCTTCGCTCGTACAAATGTACCGCTCGCGCCATAGTTCGTGATCTTTTGTAAAGAATAATAATTACGTAGAAGAATCAAAGAGTCAGCCTTTTGTAGGAAACCAACTAACCGCATGTTGTGTCTATTTAAATTTTTTATTAAAACGCGTTTCTGGCTTCAATATTGATTTAATTTATGATCCAAAATTCTCTACAAAAAGGGATAATTATTCGGCATAAATGTCTTCAATCACGATGGAAATCTTCCTAGATTAATTATCTATTTTTATTTGTATAGATTCCTTAATGAATTTAGATTGAATACATTTTTTAGATTATATAAATAAAATAATGAGATTGATACAAATCTTTTAAGACATGAACTATAATAAAAAAAATTCGATCAAACATATTTAGGTTTCATTTAGCTAATAAATAACTGCTTTGCGTTAATTCTCGATATCATGATGAGTCCATTGGGTCCATTTTCTTCATGAGTTAATCGACACGTATGAGGTCTTGAACGGAGTCCGCGGGATGTATTTTGCGCAACTCCTTTCTCAGGATCTGCTACGCGATGTCCCACTGAGATCTGTTCGATCGAAAGAAGAAACGATGCAAGCGGGGGGTCCGATATGCAAAGCGAGATCCGTTTTTTGACTGGCTCGAATATTGATGTATAGCCAAGTATGTAGATGAGCGTGAGAATGCAGCTCGTGCCGGATGGTGCGAATAGGCGAACCGGAAGTAAGCCAGTTCCCCCATCCTTCGTAGCCTCCTGGTTGCTTTTGCGGTGCATTCATTCTTCCTCCAAAGCAGTATATATACTTTTGTCATTGACTTTTTCCAACGAAGATGTAAATACAAAATACCTTCCACTGTGTCGAAACCTTGACACAAAAACACTTGTAATTATACAAGAGTTTTTCAAGCGGTAAAAATGTCTTCGCAGAAAAGCAATTGTAACATCCCACTTAAAATTTTCAATTTGTTGTGTTCAATTCCTATTATAAATCATACTTTCTCTCTCTATAACATAAAATCTGTACTTCCGTTTGTTATATATCCCAAAATATCCCAAAAATGTACATTGTTTAACAATAGCGTAAGGGATTGACTCGGCCTAAATTGACACTCGTGGTTTCAAAAGCGGAAGCGAGTTATTCTGCTAGCATTTGTCCATCCAACTGGTTCTATCAATTTCGCCAGAATTTATTGGATTGATCTAGCT